CCGGGGAAAGGCTCTCTCGGCCGCCCGGGTTCGGAGCCTCTTCCTTTCGCTGGGAAACTTTCCTGCCAGGTGGGCTGCTCAAATGGGGCTGCGAGTTTCTCGGTTTGCAGCGCTGGAAGGAACACGACTTTGACCACGACTTTTTCTTTGCTTTTCCTTTTCCGTGTATGTTTGCAAGGTGTGTGACCTCTTCCTGATCCTGGAGGGAAAATGCCGGTCCGGAAGCAAGGTGAGGATCTCTTTGGGAGCTCTTCGCCCGTGGCGGACACTTGTTTGTTCCGTGTGCCGGCTCTGTGTGAGTGCTACGTTTCCGTGTTGGTGGAACTTTGCGGAGCCGGCGCGGTCCCCGCAGCTTCCCCACGCTTCCGAAGAAAGGAGCACCTGAATGGGGTGAAGCCTCCTACCTGGACAGCTCGCCAGTGTCTAGAGCCGCAGTTAATAGTTCCCCCCTGAAATATGTCTTTTGAACAACCCCGAGTTAGTATTTTAGTTTGTCACCTGGTGCTTCTTGATAAAAACATGCCGAGGACTTGAATGATCATGACAAATTGCAGATGATCTGCTTTTGGATCCCATGTAGTCTGAACCTATGTTGGCGAGTCTTTTACTACGGCACGCTGTTTGTCAGAAACCTTCCTTGTTTTTCTGCTGACAGCATAGGTTCAAATGTTTGCCTTGCAAGAGACTGCCTAGCTCACGTGTACCTGAAACACCAGTTGACATGGAGGATTGGGGAAGCTCGTGAGATGTCTTGCAGAATCATTTGCACAGTTAGTGTGTAATATCTTGTAAGTATATAATTGAATCAAGCTTTGTTCTTCTCCCAGATACCCAGAGAGCGTTGTACCTTTTGGAAGAATATCGTTCAAAACTAAGCCAAACTGAGGACAGACAGCTCAGAAGTTCCATCGAACGGGTTATTAACATATTTCAGAGCAACCTCTTTCAGGCTTTAATAGGTGAGAATTCAATTCTTATTTGTGACCATGGTGTGTCTGTTAGACTTTAAATCATCCTCTGAATTCTCTTACATTAAATAGAAGAGAATGATGTACTTAGCTCTTTATGAGATATCCAACAACTTGTGTGTACGTCTTCAGTGAGTTGTATGTTTTAGATAGGCTAGTATAATTTAAAAAAAAAATCTAATCATTAAATAATTCTCAGCATGATTATTTCAGTGGTCTTTGCTAACAGTGTTTTGAATTTTAGTGTTAAATATTGAAAGATGGAAAAGCTGCAAAAAAAATTTCAAGACACACCCCCGTCCCCCAAAGTAGTTAATTGAATTACTGTTAGGTGGGTTCTGTATGTGATTTTCCTTTTTCAGGGGCCTGGGAGGGTCTGCTGTATTGAAGAATGTTCGTCCCTTTAAAGCAGACCCTTAGTTAAAAACATTCGTAAAGTTAGAATTTTAGTCTAGAACATGATCTTAAAGATGGTGTTTATAACTTGAGGTTGTTAAAAAAAAGATTTGATTTGGGTGAAAGTTTACAGAGCAAATCAGTTTTCCATTCAACGGTTCATATATTTTGTGGTGTGATATCAGTTGCAATTATTACTTTATTTTTACAGACAAGGAAATTGAGGCAGAATGTTAATCTTAAATCTAATTTAAATTTGAGGTGATGCCTTGTTTTGTAAAAGAGTCAAGATTAGTAGTAAAAAATCCTGAATTCTATTCCTGACACTATCATTCATTGAATGAACTTTGGCAAGTCACTTAATATTTTCTAGGTCTCCCTGTTATCTGTATAATGCAGCTAGTGAAAAAGAACAATGGGTTTTAGTCCCCTCCCCCCATATAAGTCACCAGATCATTCTAAAGATCTTTTTTACATAATTTCTGATTTATAAAGCAAGGTGCTCTAGCCCTCTGCCATATACCTTGAAGACCTGAAGCTACTAAACTAGATTTGACATTTCCAATACTAAGAATGAAAACTTTATTAGTTATTATTATATAGCGTCTTAAAATAAGACACTTATTTAATCAGTAACTCCCAAGCATTGATTTACCTTTATCTATTGACAAAGTAACTTTTTAGAGGCTTTAAAAACATTCATAAAATAAAGAAAACCACATGATGAACAATCCTATACACCTATAACTCATACCTGTAGCCCATTTCTACCACAAACCTATAACCCATCTTCAAAAATTATCCACATTTTGCCATTTTTGTGTAAATGACACATTTTTTACATTTGAATTACTAAGCTCTGAAGTTTAGAGTAATATGGATGATCAAATTGGATTTCTCTAACACAACAGCAAGATAAAAGAAAAAGGAATTTTTCAATAACAAGCACATTGCGGATTTGGTTCCAGGCCACTGCAATAAAGCGAATATTGCACGAAAGTGAGTCAAATGACTTTTTTGTTTTCCAGCGCATATGTAACAATATCATTATGAAAAGTTTTGAGCTATTGTGAGAAAACTTGACTAAACATGACCCAGAGACCAGAAGTGGACACTTGCCATTGGAAAATGGCGATGATAGACTTGCTCAAAGTAGCATTGCCTCAGAGCCTCCATTTGTAAAATCCGTGTTTGTGACGCCGCCCAGGAAAACGAAGAATACTTTTTGTTTTCTAAATCAACCTTTAAACTTAGAATAGTTTACTTAGTAGGACCACTATTGAGGAAAAAATAGTATGACTTCTGTTTTTGCGCCGCGTGCGCGCACACACACGACATGCATCTTTGAAGCTGTTTTAGGAATACTGTACTTTAATGGCTTAGGAAAATTAAAGGATGAATGAAGTAACTAAATAGAAGCTATACTACTAGACCTCCCCCTAAATTGAGGGGGATTTGCTTTTTGGCAAGGGATGCATTCTGTCTTTCCTGTTCAAGGTTTGGAACATGTTTATTCTTTTTTTATTTTTATTGGGGGCGCGTACAATTCTTACCACAATCCATACATCCATTGTGTCAAGCACATATGTACATTTGTTGCCCTCATCCTCAAAACATTTGCGTTCTACTTTAGCCCTTAATATCCGTTGCTCATTTTCCTCCTCCCTCCCCACTCCTCCTCCCTCATGCACCCTTCATAATTCATAAATTATTATAGTTTTGTCATAAGTTACACTGTCCGACGTCTCCCTCCACCCTCTTCTCTGCTGTCCATCCCCCAGGGAGGAGGCTATACTTAGATTCTTGTAATCGGTTCCCCCCTTCTATCCCTGTGTTTATTCTTATATATAATTTAAATCATTTTCTAATGAGTAAGTTTATATTTGTGAATCTTACTTGCCTTGTATCATTTAATTGGTTTTGAATTTACTCTGATATTTAGATTTATTTATATTTAAATGTTGTGTAGGATGTGGTTAAAAGATTTTGCTGTAAGAAAAGTAATAGATTCTACTTTGGGAATGGGTAAAATTAAGAGGTTTTTGTGGGTTTTTTTTAGCGCAGTTGAATTGTTGATATTACTGAATGAATAAGTGCATTCCTTCATGTTTGTTGAAATTGAATTACTTTACTAATTTTATTACTTTTCTCATTCTGAACATATAGGCCAACATGTCCCAATAATTTAAGCCTGTACATTGTCCTGAGCTATACCTCAATCCAGTGTATTTGTAGCGTGTACTGAAGACTTGTCGTTTTAACTAATTTTTCCATAGATAGCGTTTAACCTTTGAGCTGGTATTTGTGGACCAGTTGTGTGAAAGTTGTTTGGAGCTTTGGTTCTTGACCACCTGAGTTGGGAAATCATTTGGTGTTTAGGCTGTCTGTTTGGGATGCTGAGTTTCTATGGACTTAGTATCAGCTTTGATTATTTATCGATTGATTGTTTAAGTTAGGAAGAGCTGTGGTGGCATAGTGGTTACTCTTTGGGCTGTGATCTACAAGGTCTGCAGTTTGAAACCACCAGCTGCTCTGTGGGGGAAACAGGGCTTTCTACTCACATGAACAGCTTACAGTCTCAGACTCACAGGAGTAACTGTACCCTGTGCTGTATATGGGGCTGCTGTTAGTCGGAATGGACTTGATGGCAGGGAGTGAGTGTTTTGGTCTGGTAGTGTGTATTGAATATTTTCATGCAGTTCAAAAAGTTTGTTTGAATTTCTAGGGGTTTTGGTATTAAAATAATCATTTCCCCACCTCTGTAGTTAATATAGAGGTTCTGGTGCCTCGTGATTCTTCATGCTACATTCTGATGTATTTTACAAACCCAATTTTTAAATAATTTAAATCTGAAAATGATGCATGTCATTATTTATTTGGCATTGTTTTGCTTTCTTAGTGACACATCGAAATGGTGAATTTTTAAAGGTATTTAATTCAATAAGATATGGAAATCATTGTTCTATCCCTATTGCCTGGCAGTGTTCCTGAAGGATGGTTTGAGATTTAAAAATTATTGAAAGCAGAAAAGTTCTAGTTAATTTACCGTTTCAGCTGATAAATTGTTTCTTAGGCGCCCTAGAGGTGCAGTGATTAGAGAGAGCTCAGCTGCTAACTGAAAAGTTGACCGTTGAACTCCCTAGAGAGATGTGGTAGTATGTTTCTGTACAAATTACAGCCTTGGAAACCCTGTGGCAGCAGTTTTACTCTGGTCTAAGTTTCTTTAGCGCCACATATTTACTCTGATACCTTAAAATTTTTTTCTTTCATGCTGAAAATGTATTTCCAAAACATACCTAATTTCTGGATGTCTGAATATTTTTGTTTGAATGTTATTTTTCTATAAGTTGTAGGTAAAGTGCTGATTTTAATCTCTGGTTTAAATGAGAACATTTTGAAAATCTAATATATTTGACATTGCATTACCATTTTCTACCTTTATATTTGAAAAGTTTTTGAGTTCAATGGACAGGTTATGGTTAGATTACAATCAAAGTCCAGGTGTTCAGTTCCATGATGGTTTCAGGTCACTCCTGATTCTAAGTGGTTTCTGGATCCAGGACTACCATAGCTCCTTTGGGTTTCATACCATTCTAGACCCATGACATTATCTCTTATAAAATCAGAGAACCAACTGTTCTTGTTGTGCACAGGGAGAAAATCTTGGGCTCCTCTACCTTGGCTCCTTAGGACTTAGTTTTTAATTGAAGGTGGTTCACTACATAATCAGTTCATGCTTTAGTTTGAAGGTTACTCTCTTAGTTTGCAAAGGTAAAACTACTCCATCTTCCAGGAAAAGCTTCGCTGTTTGAAAACAAACTTGTGGTTAGATGTGTATTAGGTTAATAGAGAATTGTTTTCTTCTCAGTATTTTTTGCTTCAGTACAAATAACAAGATCTTCATATAGAAGAACAAATGGCCACAACAAACAGTGAACAGACAAACAAAAATGCATTGGTGAGAATGGAGGGGGGTCGGAGCGGAGACCCAAGGCCCATCTGTGGACAATGGAACATCCCCCCACAGAGGCGTTGCAGGGAGGGGATGAGTCAGGGTGCTGTAGAGCACTAATGGATCATGCAGTAGACCTCTGATCCCTTGAGGCCTCCTCAACCCCCCACCCCCATCATGACCCCAGTGCTGCCTCCCAATCTAGACTAGATGGGAGCATGTACATACGTACAGGCAAGAGTTAAAACTCACAACACATGGAACCCAGGAACAGCAATGGGAATAGAGATACCAAAAGTATAGGGGGAAGGGGGAGGGAGGGAGGTGAATGGCACATAACCACACACCCCCATCCAGGGGGAATAACAGAAACCAGAGGGGAAGGGAGACAGCAGTTGGTGTGAGATTTGAAAATAATTAACAATCTATAATCTATCAAGGGGCCATGAGGGCTGGGGGGGGGGCGGGCAGGGAGGAAGGAGGGATTAAAAAAAAAAAGGAGTTGATCCCAAGGGCTCAATGGAAAGTAAATGTCTAGAAAAGATGATGGGAGTATATGTACTAATATGTCAGATACAATCGATGTATGGATTGTAATAAGGGTTGTAAGAGCCTCCAATAAAATGATCTAAAAAAAACAAAA